CAGATATGACACTAATAGTGACGTGCCTTGGACTATAAGACTGTCCGTAACTACTGAAGTTCCCCTTGATCGGCTCATGCAAGATATATATGAGTGGTCGCATTGCTGTGGTTCTACCACAGGCAAGGAATAACTGTCTAAAACTCTATGTTATTTATGGTCAACAAAGAAGCCATCCATGACGCGTTTCCTGCGTTGCCCTATCTCTTGATCCTCTCTCACGAGCAGCCACAAGGTCCAAGCCCTACCTCGCCGTGCGTTTGTTTGAGCAACTCTACGACATCCCTTTACTCCAAAACAATACTAATGCAGGGGAATTGCGCCGAAAGACGTATCAAGACAGCGGTACCCAACATTTAATAGGAGGGCTTCGCTGAATTTATTAGAGGCTTAGGGGGGTAAACAATATTACTGAGTTGCCTTTTCCAGGACTCTACTTAGGGGTATATCTCATTCTGTTTCTTACATCCAGAGGTTGAGATTTATCTCTTCATGAAATCTCAAGGCCTTGTGGCATTAAGGTGCAGGGGGTGGTGTATATTCTCTGGTTCTTGCATTCCAAGGCCTGGCTCTTGACTTGGCCCGATGGAAACACAAAGACGGTGAGGTGAACAGATATACCGGTCTACTTATCACTCTGTTTAATGTGAGCTACCATTTAGGGGTTTTACATCTCTGAGGTTCTCTCGCCTTCTTCCTCTGGATAATCTTCGAAACGGGTCTACGAATCATATGTTGGTGATAACGATCTCATATGTTCCGGAACATAGTCAGCCAACATCGCTCTTAAACAGTATTTGACCAAACGCCATAGGCCCTAGGCGGTATTCTGACTTCAGGAATTCTCCAAAATAGCTTAGTTTTCGATAACGTCTTCAGATGCACAAGATATCAGAGGGTTACAGGGTAGCCTCGGCACGATGCCACGAAACAGCATCTTTCACTCCAGTTTGTGTTTTGCCTCGTTTCATGAATACCGTATCTTGTAATCGGAGGCTATCAGTGCACTGGCGCTGACCATCTTTGTTACGACCAGATGGTCCTGTTTATGGATAAAGGGCTGAGGCAAGCCGAAGCACGTGGGAGATAGTCAAGGTAAAAACGCTACAGTTAACTTCGCCGGTTGAATATGTCCCAGGATGCTTCCTCCATTTGATACTGCACGTTATACCTGGGGCTATATGAGTCTATTTACGATTGCCTACCTGAATAACGCAAACAGGCACACTAAGCTCACTTCAACACCAGCACGGAGCACTGAAGACTTCACGATAGTAATCTTGTAAGAGTGTTTGTCTCTGCGCCAATCGATTGGAACTTGCGGTTTGTTTGAACCAAGTTGTAGCTAAATGTTTCAAGAAGAGGCCGATGATACACGAGAGAACTTGTGTTGATCTAAACCTACCACTGACTACACGGTCCTCGTACTGGTCGTTCACAAAGATCGAGGCAACACAGATATACTCATCGAAAACTCGTTTGATTCCCCGTCTCTTCTAGAATTAAATTGCCACCTTCCGCTGAACAGAATCCGACCGCTCTCCTTCAAATGTTAGTATCTAACACTTTACTCCTGTTAATTTGTCCAGCTCTAATTCCGATATCTTGAACAAGTAAGAACCAACCCAATCACGGTGCTTTTACTATGGAGTCTATAGATTGGCAGCATTAGCATATTAAACTCCTAGGTTGTCTGCATCATTGTGGAGATACTTCCTGTTTTTGCTGCAGTAATTATTTCTGTGTGGCCAACATGAACTCTCTGAACATCGAGTTACGTTGCTTGAGGGATGAAAGTGTACTGTTGTGTGTCGTGATTGTGGTCAACAGAGCTAGGTCATCTTTGGGTGGCGGTGAAACGGTGTTATTTAGTCGGATAATAATGTTTTGATGTCGTCTATGATATTTCCATCTTCAGCTCTCTATGCTGTGCTCATCAGATATACAATTTTTAAAGACTCCATGGCCAAACTGAATCGCCACATATTCCCGGAGAATTAGAGCGAGACTTAACTTTCGACTTGGTAATCGAGTTGACGACATTACACCCAAATCATCACTAGATTTGCCAGTATATCTCAAGAATTGACTAGCCACACGAGTTAGACTTATTCGAGGAAGTGTTGACAATACTCGTAGCGGTTTTCAACTGCAAGGTGGTCTGCAAATACAGGGTAGGTCGTTTCTGAGCAACAACAACTTAGACGGCATCGTGCGCTGACCAATCTATTGTCAGGGCTTTGTAAGTTCATATTTAACTCATCCAGGATCTGGATATGGTCTAGACTCTGGGCTGATAGAAGGAACTGTAACATTGAAGATACCTATCTGTGCGAGGATCGTAAATCATAGCAAAGTGTGGAACAAGAATCAATAACCATTTGGCTGGAAACGTGCACCTACCAAATGGAGTGAACAAAGAAGATGGCCCACAAAAAGTCCTACAAGTCCTGAAATCCAAGGGCCCTGCATCGTCATACCCCAGGCCCTCCACTGAGTCTAAGGTCCTAGGTATGGGCAAAGGCGGCTGAAGAGAAGCCAAGAATTGGTACCGGGTAATGTCAGGCTGACACCCGCTGGTTGGTTTATCACAAGGTACCTACCTACTAACCTTACTTGCCTACTGATCTAGGAACACCCAACAACTCGAGTCTGGACAGTTTCGATTGTTCTTTGAGGGAGAATCATCATCAAACGAATATACGAAAAACTGCGTCATCGTCAACGTCAACATTGGCGTCCTCTTTCTCGGCAGTTTCAAGGTTCGTCATCGCCCATACCCAGAAGATTGGGGCTTTGCTCGTGTTCTATAGCTACCCCACCATCCCACCTCGTGTACCAGACATCAAGATCAACACCAACGTTATCTGGACGTACTTCCCAGAAACCAAGATAGTCATACATGACTTGGACGAACCAGAATAAACTGAGCATAAGCTGTCGAGGGCTCTGTTAATTATGTCAGCTGCGAACTTTGATTTGGAATAATGTCAAAAAGAATTGATACATAAGTGGGCGAAAGTAAACGAGAACCTAAAGGGAAGAATCCACCTCATTCACAGCCACAATAGGAAAGCAATTAACCGGTCAGATCGCATCCTGTCAGAAAGATGACAAGGCAGAATGGCGTTGGCTAGGTACTTACCTTACTGTGTACCGTACCAGGTAGGTAGCTTAGTACCTACTCTAGTGCATATCAATTGGGCGTCAATATTTGACAGCTGGGGTTAGACAGTCCAGCCCGTGCAATTCTCATCAAAGGTCATGAACTTTCTGATCTGACAAACCAGAGAATCGGTGTGAAATGATCCTGCAACGACCTGTAACTAATAAATGCACCTACTGCTACGGTAGCAGCACATGGGTCATTAAACCCCTGTCCTCAGCCTTAAACCGCTGAAAATATCCTAGCGCCGTCAGCTGTGTCCTGGTCGGGTCTCCACTAGAGGCGGTCGGGCTCTATTTCCTCGTTTCCATTGGATTGGATTTCCATTTGGGTAGAGGTAGGTAAGTACGGTACTAGGTATACAGCACTGTGCAGTCCAGTGCAGAATACCTAGAAGCGGAAGCGGATTGCAGCGCCCCATTCAGCCACCACCCGAGCTCAGCCCAGAAGGAACTGATACCAAATTGAAGACTCGAAAGCCAAGCCAAGCGAAGCACAGCACAACACAACACAGCACCTCACCTCACCTCAGAATTATTCTTCTTCCTGTTAGGTTGATTCCTTTTTACCAAATACTGCACGCCGACACCTCCCAACTTTAAACTCGCCTACGAAGCAAAAGCGTTCCTGGATCATCATCTCCTCGCTAAATTGACCAAGCCCATCGTATCTTCGGCCTGCCCGTTCCTCTGTTCAACTGCGCCTCTTTGTTTGATCGCCTCTCAAGAACGAGGCCCCTGTAATAGACATTGGACGTGCTCCATATCAGCGCGTATCGACACCAACCAAAGAAAGCCCGCCTACATTTTAAACAACTTGCTACGACCCTACGGCTACAGACAGTGGTGCTGAATCACTGACTATACAGTACGGATACTCTTGTACTCAAGACAACGAAGCTTGGAAACTACGGTCACTACCGCCAATATTTGCGCCATCTTCAAGCCTGCATTAAGTCAGGACATCTCAGCATCAAGAGACGGCTCTTGGTGCATCCAGCTCCAAGCCAGCTTCAGCCCAAGCTCAGCCCAAGCTCAATAGCATTAGCCAACCAGCCAGCAAAGGCATCAGGCTCGCACCCCCCTCTTTGTTTTTTTTGCACACTCCTAGGATTCAACATCTAAGACACAGCAAAGACAGTGGCAGTGGCCATTATAGAGATTCAGGACACTCAAGGGAAGACCAACAGATTGGAACAGCATCAGAATCGAAATAAGCGCCATTAACCGGACGGACCGTTTACGGTTGAGAACTTTCTCTCGACTACCTACATATTACCTCGTCTGTGTTCAAGTGAAAGAAAGGCACTCAGCAACCAGCCTAGTTTGATCATTTCTAGACTACAGCTGCCACTGTTTTCGCGACTTTCCAGTGATAAAGAATAAAACCTCATTTACTACATCATATACCAGATTAGGTGCCTTGCTGGATAGTAAGTTGATTTACTGTTGTCCCTCACGTTTCGTCTTGTTTTATTAATGCTCTTACAGATATTCAGTGAGGAAACACTCTGCTTCCTCACTCCTTGGCAGTCTAGTAGCATCGCTCATCTCTGACTGCCCCTCCCCACCCCCCAGGCCGTGCTAATTTCTGACCCGAGCCCAAGCCTGACCCTCCCACTCCTCTTCTCATATCCCCCTCCCCCTCTTACGCCCAATCCTAATCCGCCTCCATCGAAAAACCCCCTCGTCCTGTCCATCCTGCCCCGTCCTGCTGCGGCGCCTCGCTCGCTCGCTCGCCGCCCTGTGCTTTTGTGCCTGCCTCTACCTCTTTTGACCTCTTGGGTCCTACTTCTCAACCTTTTCTACCCTTTGCTCCTCTTCCTCTTTTCCATATGAGTTCTATGAACTCCCGCTTCAAGAGCCTTGGCTTCGGAAAACGCAAATCCGCTGCAAGCATACAGACCTCGGAAGGTCTGACACCGAGCCCAACCCCTCCTCCAGGCCAAATACCGCAGCTTCCTTCTCAGCAACAGCTTAACGCTCCCTCAATCGCTCCATCGTCTTCAACGACGACTCTTCCGATGAATCACCCGGGCCCCGGCAACCGTCCGCCTAGCTATACCGCAAACTTCCCTCCCGGTCAAGCTCCTCTTGGTCGTACCAGTCCTCTCGCTCAACAGCCCAACCGCACTCCTCCAACTCAAATGGTCGGCGGTCCTCCTCCGATCAACACCGGAGCCCCAATGGGCTACCCTCCCGGAATGGCGCCCATGGGCCAAGGGCCTCCTCCGATGGGAGGCCCTCCTGGTTTCGGACAACAACCACCGCCTCCCCAAGGATATCCTCCTCCCGGTCCTCCAGGTGCTCCTATGAATCAGCAGTTTCAACGACCAGGCCCTGCTGCCGAAGTTGAGGGCGCTAGCAAGAGCAAGGCTCAGCTCATTGTTGGAATTGATTTTGTAGGCTAGCTACCAGCGTGGCAGACACTTCGGCTAACTAACAATCAACAGGGTACCACATTCTCGGGTGTTGCTTTTGCTTTCGCGACCAACAACGAAGCCAAGGAAGATATCATTACTGAGTGGCCAGGTGCTGGTTCTTATACCAAGCAGAAGGCATGTCAACAATGATCAAGACACGAATCAAGGAAATCAGCAAGCTAACAACTGTCTTTGACAGATTCCAACAGTGCTTTATTACGATCAGTACCAGAAAGTGGTAGGATGGGGACCCGATATTGCCGATGCCCTTGCTCCTACTGGCTATCCCAAGCCCGGTGTACAAAAGGTCGAATGGTTCAAGCTGCAACTGATGTTGAGCGGCAACACATACATTGACCCTATCAACCTTCCTCCTCTGCCTCCAGGAAAGTCAGAAATTGATGTCGCCGCCGATTACCTTTTTAAGCTTCGACAGGCTATGCGGTCAGCTCTGCAAAAGGCGTTGGGTGAAGTCTTTAACCGAGAAGAACGCAACATCCGATATTATCTGACCGTCCCTGCTATTTGGAACGATGCTGGAAAGGCCGCTACTCGAGCTGCTGCCATCCAGGCCGGTTTCCTTCGCGATGAGAACGACAACCGTCTGACCCTCGTCTCAGAACCCGAGGCTGCCGCTTTGTTCTGTTCCAAGACCGGTCTTCTGGACCTCAAGGTCCATGACGCTGTTCTGATTGTGGATTGTGGTGGTGGTACCGTTGATTTGATTGCTTACGAGGTTGAGGAGGAGAACCCTTTCACTGTTGCCGAGTGTACGGCTGGTTCTGGAGACTCTTGTGGTTCAACAGCCCTGAACCGTAATTTCAGCAACATTCTCCGCACCAAGATTCGAAAGATGAAGCTTCCCGATGGCTCCAAGACCGCTGGCCGAGTCTACGCCAAGTGCATTATGGACTTCGAGAACCGAATCAAGGCTGATTTCCGAAACAACGGTCAGAAGTGGGCTGTCGACGTTGGTATCGAGGCTGAGTTCCCTGAGGCTGGTATTGAGGAGGGTTACATGACCTTCACCAACGAGGAGATTCTCCAGTGTTTTGAGCCCGTTGTCAATCGTATCCTGGAGCTTGTGAGAAACCAGATTATTGCCATCCAGGCCCAGAACCGCACTCTCCAGAACATCCTGGTTGTTGGTGGGTTCGGTGCTTCTGAGTACCTTTTCCAACAAATCAAACTCCATGTCCCTCCCCAGTTCCAGTCTAAGGTTGTCCGGCCCATGGATTCCGTGGCTGCCATTGTCAAGGGTGCTGTTACTGCTGGTATCACAGAGCGAATTGTTACTCATCGTGTTGCTCGACGACATTACCTCATGGCGACTCTTCAGCCCTTTAAGGAAGGCTACCACCCCGAGGCTTATCGTGTGCCGTCTCTCGATGGAAAGGACCGCTGCAAGTTCACCCGCCAGATCTTCGTCCAGAAGGGCCAGAAGGTCAAGAACGGCGAACCCGTCAAGGTCTCTTTCTTCCGACAAGTCGCTCCAGGTGCCACCCTTATGTACGAGGATGTGCTATATGCCTGCGACGATGATGTCTGCCCTGAATACACCAAGGATCCCCGTAAGTTAAACATTCATTCTGAGCTTTCACAACACATGACCAACATATCACAGGTATCAAGGAAGTTGTTACTCTCACCTCGGATCTTTCTCGCAAGAACTTGGAGAAGGACTTCGAGAGAATGGATACCCCTCAAGGCACATTTTACCGCGTTTACTTCGATATTTACCTGACCCTCGACGGTTCGGAATTCAGCGCCGAACTTGTCTGTCAAGGCGAAGTCATGGGCCGCTGCCGCTCTCGCTTCAGATAAACAAGCCTTAAACAGAAGCGGAAGTGAAAGTCGATAAGTTTAAGGTTCACTTTGAAACCCCATGATACCTAGGAAGACACAGACCCAAGATGACGCCAAGTCAGCGCGCAGATGGGATTATTTTTATAGCTGCCTCAAGAGCATGCGAAGAGGACGTGCGACATGTCGAGCGAAAGATGTTGGATTTAGTATTGAGAAGTTAAAACGGACGGGGCATGGTGAATAGACCAACGTGTCTGACTGAGCCTGGTGCTACGTTCCAAGATAAAGAGGGGAAGAGTTGCATGCATGAACGACATGATGACTACTCGTACATAGACAATGAATTTTAAGTTGAATGAAAACAGGCCATAGAGTCATACAAAAGCGATCAACGCACTCTCTCAAGTTTCACGCCGAAGCTGCTCACAGTTTCTGATCATATGCCTATAGGTCTCAGGAAGAATACGGTCTAGCACATACGACCAAAGCTCGTAGAGAATACGGGGTCCCGTCTGCTCCCCCATCGTCAAGCTGCGAAGCGCCGGATTAGTAGTTGGGTCGGTGACGACCAGCGAATCCCCGGTGTTGTATGTTTTTTGGTGTCTTCGATTTTTGACGATATTCAGATTTCCAAATATGTTAATTGGCTAGGTGGGGCAGAGTCTCTTGCACCACGCACCACGCATCACGCACGTGGTGCCAGGCTGAGATTGACTCACTCACAATGGCATTAGTATACCTAACAAGCGTAGCTCATTATATGCAGTGAACGGTTTCTCAGAAACTATCTGAGTACTAGGTAGGTATAGATTGATAGACATTCACAGCACGAGGCCATCTTGAGGGGCATCCGCCGTCGTCCTGGTTCGCGACTGCTCTGACGTCATACTTGCTTGACCTGCCATGTTAACCAACAACAGGAAATGGCAGGAACGCCAGCCATGGGTTCGTTCGTAGGTTCCTTCCATGAGCAGCGTGCGGCGCTCTGTTACTTTGCTCAATGAGCTACCTTGCCTCTTGTTTATGCTTCCCTTCACTTCTGTCGTGTCCTTTCTTGTTGATTTGTGATTCTTTCCCTGGCTCCAGGCGAGTTTTTTTATCTCGCCTTTATCCTCTTTTACGTCCTTTATTGTTACTTTCCTGGTTTTGTCTTTGGGCGATCACACACCAAAAATAGTTGTTACAGTATCATCTTTAATGCCCCTGGTCGTTTCAGATTCGTGCTTTGCCCTCTCATCACCTCTCCTTCACGACAGCCTAGCCCTATCTCGTTTCCCTCGGCCGGTCAATCCCTGTTCATTGGGCCAACTATTCATCCTTCTTCTGGTCATTTTCAGTTGCCACGCTTGAATTGCAGATCAGTTCGACTAGGTTTATCAAGAAACAGTTTCTGGGCATCAAGAAGCCAGTTCCTTACTCGCACCTTCACGGCCACCTATACGTCACTGTCGACCCTGGACCCTGGCTCCAAACCAACTCTATCGTTCGTCTTATATCTGCCTCTCGACTGCAGCTTGAATAGTCCCTTCAGCGTTATGATCACAACTGGTTAGCACTTATTATTGTTTTTTGATACTTTGGACCTGAGGCAACTTCATTCGGCAGGCTTATTGGATCCCAGTCTCAATTACCCACGTACAACTTCTTCGTCTTGGTAGGAATAAAGTTCTCGGGTCGTGAGATGGTATCCTCGTCGAGGCGTAGAGGCGCGAGTAGCGTTTCTTCACTTTATCGAGTATTGGTACCAGTTGTTGCCGTCGGGATTCTCCTGAGCGCCGCAGGGGCGGAAGGGGCACAAGATGCCACGAAGGGTTCACACGACGATCTTCTGCATTTCCCTGGACGAATTAGATCTCCGAACCGAGGGGAACCAAAAGATCCTAACAGGACAATTCCCTTGACCATTACCAACAAATGTGACTCGACAATCTGGCCCGGCATTGCAACACAGGCCGGCAGAGGCCCGGGAACTGGAGGATTCGAGCTCGCTCAAGGAAAAAGCAAAGACCTATGGGTCTCATGGGATTGGCAAGGTCGCGTCTGGGGTCGTACGAATTGTACTGTAAATGGTGATTCGTGTTCCTGCAAAACTGGAGATTGTTTTGGGATGTTGGATTGCGAAGCCAGTGTAAGTGCTCTGTGCGGGAACAAGAATCGTATAATACTAACCGCCAAAAGGGTTCAACGCCAGCAACACTCGCTGAATTCACACTGGCTGGTGGTTTGCATGGGAAGCAGACTTTCTACGATCTCTCTTTGGTTGATGGCTACAATCTCCCGATGGGCGTCAACTACATACCCGCCAAGAACACAACATTCATTCCGCCGAATCTGACCAACTGCGCCTGCATTGCGACACCTAGTTGGATCTACGCCAGCAGTCAGACGGGAACATATTACACAAACTCATCATACCCCATCCCACTTGAAACTCGAGTCAGTAGTGACAATGCCCGAAGCTGGTGCCCATGGAAATACCTTGCTTTTCCACCCACTAAGCCTGGGGATGGCGTCTATCCTTATCCAGACGACGACATTCAACGGCCAGAGTTCTCCCCCTGTAACAGTGCATGCGCTGCGTACGGAACTGATGAGGACTGCTGTGTAGGGAAGTACCACGACCCAGATGTCTGCAAGCCATCTGCCTACAGCAAGAGAGCCAAGATTATATGCCCCGATGCATATAGTTTTGCTTATGACGACCAGAAGTCCACGTTCATTATTCCTAATGGTGGAGGCTGGGAGGTAATCATGTGCCCCAAGGGTCGCTCAACTAACATTCTGCGACAACTTGGGGATGAAATGAACGAGCTCGCCCAATCTGGCACCCTATCGGAGGTGACACAGAAGAAGCTCAGGGACGTCAGTTATATCGTAGCTGAGAGGAGCCTCGGAAACCATGTGCTACCTATCAAAGTCATGATGGCTTCAACAGCGTTGGCAACTGCAATTTGGCTACTAGTATAAGCTGTAACGGGTCTTATGCGAGAACTAACCATTGGAGCTGCGCAGTTCTCTTTTTGTCCAGGGCTCAGGCTGGTTCCTGATCTCAAGTACACTCCTTTGATGCCCGTACTGTAGAAAGAAGGGCGCATACGAAGAAACGATAGACGATGGAGAAGAAACCGCACCATATACCTGATTAGAACGCTTATACCCCTTTTTCGATAACCTTAAATGAGAAATGCTTATTCTTGCACCTGTGCGTAAGCTACTTAGGTTCTATCGCTCTGAGATTTGATGATTTATATCCACCCATGAACTGGTTTGCCTCGTCTTATTGTGAAGCAACCTCTATATTTGAATTCGTGCAAACGTGCCATATCGCGCGTCTATTTGCGCTGCTTCTCCTTCCGCCTCCTCTCCCACTCAGCTCTCTCCTCTTCATCACTTCCACTGAATTCAGCATCGTCATCACTGTCGTCTGGAACATCGAGCACGGCTCCACTATGGCCGGCCGAGTTGTTGACATTGATAAAGTCTCCGGCATTTTGATTCGCATATTCATGCTTCTGGATGATTTCGCGGAGTTCTGTGTTTGTAGGATCGACAAGCTGGTAGGGGGTAAGACGGGCCTTGTTCTTGACTCGTGTGCTGGAGCCGGCCTCAAGCATCATCTCGACGAGGGCGTTGCCGAAGGGTCGCTGCGCGGGCGGCTCTGAATTGATCCAACGGATAGCGCTGTGGAGAGGTGTGTCGCCTTCTGAACGGTTAATGGGATCGCACTCGAATTCGGGCTGGTCGAGAAGGTGGTCAATAATTTCGTCTGAGGCGGTGGGTTAGCTCGTCTGGATCATGCGCATGTGTGAAGGTATGTGAGGCGCACAGTTTCCGCGGGAGGCGGCTTCGTGGTAGAGATGGTTGCCCATGACAGTTGTGGTCTCGTTGAGGAGCTTTGAGATCTCGGCGTCGGACTTGTCCTCGAGACAGTCGTTGAGAAGATCAAGGTTGTTACGGCGGCAGGCTTCGATCAGGATTTCCTGGACGGTGGCGCCCTGCAGAGTTCGCGTTAATTCGCCAATCTATTGGGAGTATTTTGTGCCAAGCATGATGTAACTCACATCGTGCTCTTCATCTCCAGCCATGTTGAGATTTGTTGAATATCAAGTCAAGTTGGGGTTCGCGAGAGCGGGGTATTAGATGTTCGGATTGACAATGACGAAGTCAAGCGCCGAAGAATCTGGCAAACCCCGTTGGTAGTTCAGAAGTATTCTAAGAATGTCCGCAGGTGAGAAACGGAGGATGCACAGGCTGGTTGTGTCGTTGTGGCTTAAGGGAGGCAGTGAATATGGACTGTGCTAGGTTTTGGGTGTTTCATGTTTCGTTGGTGTTTGGAGGGGCACTGCGATGCCCAGCCTAATCCAAGTCCACCTCAGGGAGCTCAGGCGGAAATGGCGGGGAGAGGGATGGCGCTAGAACTGCCAGACCAGCCTGGGCGATAGTGGGACCAACCAGATCAAGTCAAGCAGCCTCATGCTTCTGCGGTTAGATGAAAAAAAAATTAAGGTAGTCATTCCATCTTCAATTCAAGATCGTTTGTCTATTCAACCGCACCTCAATCCACGACAACTACCAAACAAGAGGGCCCATCTTAAGCAAACCAACGTCCCTCCTAACCAAATAAACCGTTTCTCTCGCCCACGAGCATAGTAACCGGCATCATGCTGCTCTGTAGGAGCCCCAAGATTGATGTGCCACTTCCAAACTAACAAACTTCAGTCTGCCCCCATTGCGCAAACATCCTCACCGTCTCCCTCACAAATACACGAACCAACCGTCTCGAATGCCGAACTTGCCCGTTCGAACATCACATCACCGAGCCCGTCTTTTCGCGACGTATGTATGAGCGTGTCGAGAAGGAAGATGTCTTTGGCGGTCCTGGCGCCTGGGACAATGCGCAAAAGGGTCGTGTTCAGTGCCCTAACGAGGGATGCGAGGGAGACGAGGCAGCATTCTTCCAGGTCCAGATTCGCAGTGCTGATGAGCCCATGACGAGCTTTTACAAGTGCATGACCTGTGGTCACCGGTGGAGAGAAAACTGAGTTCGGGGAAGGATTGCTTTGGGTTTCGTAGCAAGGGGATTTTCTTTGTGCAAGGAGAAATGGAGTTGGGCCATCATACTTGTCTTTTAGAGATGTTTAAGAATCTGTTCCAACAGGCGTCGCACTGTTCTTGATGACGGAATGCTTCTTTTTCTTGCGTGGGGTTTTTCGCTTTCGCGGGGTATCAGGCATGCTTTCATTCACAGCGTCATCCTGATTCCTCTTGTTGTTACTCGTGACTTTCGTATCGTCCTGCGAAGGCCTGTCCAGCTTGGCAGGGACCTTCTAGCTCTCTCGGTGCCAATCGACTGATGCCTTCATGCCCTCCTCCATCAGTGCCCTCACGACATCAGGGCTGATGATTTGTTGTCGGAACGTCTCCTGCTGGAGGAGCTCGAGATGCCGTAGTGTCGGGCCGGGGTACGTTAGATACTTGAGATACGGTGGTTTGCTCCAGTATTGTAGGTAGCTAAGATATGCGACAAAGGCGGGTTGGCTGAGAAGCTTCTGGGAGGCAAGGTGGTTGAGGTAGGCCGGGTTGGCGAGGGACTGAACAAACTGCGCGTGATATCTGTTAGTTATGGGCTCATGGCGCTACTAAATGAGAGAGCAAACAAACCTCAAGCTCAACCTCGAATCGTGAATAGCCACCGTATTTGGGCTCTCGGTCTACTTCAGCAGGCGGTTCGGGAGGCGATCCCATTGGGATGTCTTGAGAATCTCCCGTCGCCATATTCCAGGAGCTGTATCGAGAGAGACTACTTCCGAACAGTGGAATATGGAGGTCGGGGGTGAGGGTGGTGATATGGATGTAGGAGGATGTTGATGCTGTGTTTGGGGGAGTTCAATTGGGGTAGAGGTCGCGCAGTTGAAAGGCCCACATCTCCCATTTTGACAGTTGAAGAGAAAAGAAAAAGTCAAGAATAGGGAGCTTGTTAATACTCGACTCCAATTCCTCCCAGTCTCTGTACAATTTTGAATATTGCACAAGGTGACACTTTTTTACTTGGTTCTATTTCTATGTACTTTGACGTCTTCTTCTCATGCCCTTGCAATGTCATTCTTCAGGACAACGCGGACGCTAGGCTTCGTCTTTTCTGTCCTTGGGAGGCATTAAATAAACATCGACGTCAGCCTGAGCTCTTAGTATACATGAAAGGTTCCTTCTGACAGTGTAAACAGAAATCCGCAAACACAAACTGGGCAGCGTTATTCTTTCAAATTTATATTGATAATTATCATCTGCTGAAATAGAATTACTCTTGCCGCTGAAAGCACCATCCACTCTTTTCTCGATAATAACTCTTCTGTCCCCTGGCACGCTCAAACTCAACATAAATATTGCGTTCCCATGATCGGCTTGAACTCTCATTAGAATGTCCGAAACACCTGCTACAAAACATGTCAAGACTCGCATCCTTATCATATCCGATACGCATGGGTCGAAACCAAAGCCCAAGAGCAAAGGCGTACCTACTACCGATGATGAGCTCAACGAAAAGGATGTCACGCGTGTGACGACGGGTTGGAGAGACCCTCTTCCCTCTTCTGATGTGGCTATCCATTGCGGAGACCTCACGAAGCGAACGACAATTCCTGAATTCGAGAATACCTTCTCCGTGTTACGGTCTATCAACGCCCCTCTCAAGCTGGTCATTGCAGGCAACCATGACATGGCGCTTCATGATGATTATTGGATCAATGAGTTTGGTGGTCCAGCGGACACGCTCGACAAGGTCAAGACTATTCTTCAGGAGGCTGAGAAAGATGGTGTTCGGTACTTGACAGAGGGCGTTCATGTGTTTACCCTGCAGAATGGCGCTCTGTTGAAAGTATATGCGAGTCCGTGGACTCCTTCGTATGGTGGCTGGGCATTCCAATATGACAACGGACACGACTTCAACATCCCCGAGGAAACCGATGTGGCCATTACTCACGGTCCTCCACAAGGTATCTGCGACTTTGCAGGCATGACTGGGTCCCACGCTGGCTGTCCCAATCTCCGTGCCGCTGTTGCCCATGCCAGACCCAAGATTCACTGCTTCGGCCATATTCATGAAGCTTGGGGGACGCATCATGTGACATGGAAAGACAATGACATTGATGAGAAACTGTCAAGAAAAGTCGGGCTCAAGGGGCTACGACCAAATCGTGTGACGCAGAACGAGGAAGAGGCCAACGCAACAAGGGTGAAGCTAATCGAGATGAGCAAGCAAAGAGCTGCACACCTGGACCTCACTCAGGGTGACAGTCGCGTGGTTCAAGGGAAACAAACATTGTTTGTCAACGCGGCGATTATGGATATCAGATATAGACCTATACAGCTACCGTGGCTGATTGATGTAGACTTGGTGAGAGCTGGACCGTTGTGAGAGATCCTGGACGAATGACTGCGGATACATCATCATCATCATCACTACGAATCATAGCATAGATAGATATACATCAACTGAAAACCTATAGGTTCAATGCTTGTTTATAACTAGCTAAGCTGGTACATGTCTATTACTTAGTACTTTTCCCATCACTCTCGATGGCAAGCTAATCAACCATGGGTACCTCTGGGAGAAGAAAAAAAAAAAAGTGATACACTATCCATGGATCTTTGAATAATGCATTATTAATTTCCTTGTATCGTAAATGTCAATTGACTGCTTCCATGAAATGCTCCGTGGTGAAGATGAAAATATACGCAAACAGGTATCAGAGCTCTCTTATAGAGCAAGGACAGCGCCGAGAGCAGCGAGGAGACCGAAGGCAGGGCCAGCAACAGCAGCAGCGTTACCAGTAGGAACGCTGCTGGCGCTGCCACTCTCGCTGCCGGAACCAGAGCCAGAAGTTCCACTGGGGGTGGAAGCTCCGTGAGTCTTGGTGGAGGTTCCGTTGCCGGGGTGGGGAGTAACTGGGACAGCGGTGGACTCCTCGGGGATGCTAGAGAAGATGGCGGGGACACTGGCGGAGCCGGTGACGGAGGTGTCGATGCTGACGGTGACGGCGCCGGTGGTGGCAGCAGCAGAGGTAGCTGTAGGCTTGCCAGAGCCGGCGGTCTTAGCGAACTCCTTGCAGGCCTCGGCGGCAGCAGACTGGGCCTTGAGGAGGTCTTGAGCCTCGCAGGCCTTGGTCAAGCAAGGGGTGATGATGGGGAGGAGCTTCTCCTGGAAATCGGAGGCGCATTGGCAGGCGGTGTCCTCGAGCTTGCAGCCGGCCTTGGGGATGTTCTCCTGGAGACATTTGAGCTGTACGATGGATGTTAGTCGGGTGGTATCGTTGGATGGTCGTGTTCCATTGGTTCAGGGCGACTTACAGCACACTCGGGTTGACCACCGAAGTCCTGAGCGGCAACGAGGCCAGCGGCAGCGAGGAAGAAAGTAGCCTTCATCTTGAATGTTACTGTAACTAATAAACGATTGAGTGAACGCGAAAGCGGGAGAGCTTTGGATTATAAAGTCAACGATTAGACAGGTGCAAATTCAATTCAATTCAACGAGAGGGATGTACAGGAGACAACTTAAGACAAGTCTCGGAACAGGTTGGCATCACCTCCTTATATACAATGTAGTAGAGTCTTGCAAACTTAAAAAGTCCCGATACTTTATTAGCCCAGTCAACAGTGACAGACGGCAGACGTCAACAAGTGGCTGGACTACGAACGAATACAGGCTAAGCTGCTGCTATTGGGGTGACCATTGACCTGATCCTGATCCAATGCTAAGCTCTAGCACAGCTTCAGGCTGCAGAGGTGCCCCTGGACCCCTGGTTCAATCCCCTCCAACCCCGAAAAGCCGACACCAACCTTCTGTGTACTGTACATAAAACGCCTGGACCGACCAATCATGCCGAGTCCTGCGGCATAGGCGCTGACCTTTTTCGGTGGGTCTACAGCGCTGTTAGAGTTCTAATGGCCTGTCAATCACCATATTTCAGTAACATTCTCACAACTCCCGTAATTGTCGGGTGTCATCGTCTGAGGTTTCATAAAACTCTACTTGTTTTTCTTTCTTCTGGTACCTATGGAGTATCTTCCGTTATCTTCTCCATCAAGCGTCATTTTGTGCTCGGCAGCGACTTTGAGAACAAGGAAAATTGAGTTTTATTTATGTCTTTTCTAGTTCTCTCATCCCATATAATAAATCTGCTACTCTTTGCCTTGTTTGTGCCGGTTGCCGTTTGGGGGCGACGCCATCTTTGCCCATGGCGTTTCTTGGTATGCATCCGTGCATGTTTGAAGAGGAGGGGGGAGTCTAAATTGGTGCTACCCTCGAAACTAGGGATTTATTGCCCCGGACAACTTCACAACAGTCAATGTCTTTCCAGATCTAGAAACATACGTATGTCGAATGTAGGTAGGTCGGACTGTCGGTATGTATTGAATACGAAGGAGCCTACCATAACTTTATTTCTCCATATTAAGGTTTGATGATGATGTTCAGGTACTTCATGCATCAACATTGCTCCTTTCGTCTGTTTACTCCTTTTTCTTTCTTTTTCAACGAGAAGCTTCCTTTGCTTTCTATCACTTATTCTCTCACTAAACTTACAGAGCATACCACCCAGAACAAGATAGGGCTAGATATTAGAAGAAACATACCCAGTACTCCGTACATACTATGTATAAACAACCGTCAACATGCTGACGCTATGAAACGCCAATAAACGGCATAAAGACCAGGATGAGAACATGATATGCAGCACCATCTCAGCTTCTGCAGCTCCCACACACTGAATCAATCGTGGCAACCTTGAAGGCTGAGTTGGCTTACTGTTGCCGTTGTCTCTTCTGGATGTCATCTTCACATCCGACATCCTCAAGCTCCTTCATCAACGTCAGCTTATTGCCCCCTCACGCATTGTGCATGCGCGTACTTGCATACAAACACTTACGCGTCGTCCCAAAGTGCCTCCTCAGTGCCTCACAGGTAGGTAGGCTAGGACTGTCTAGTGGCCTTGTACGGATAAATTGGCTTGGATCCAACGCTTCCCAACAAAACATCTTCCTTCTCCCTCGCTGCTATTGGTGGATGTCGGCTTCTAATTCGGGGAGGTGTCTAGACAGTGCAACTCCACGAAACGCAGTGATGCTTGAACGAATACTGCTGTAGCTATCTCTGGCGGCTGCTTTTTCTTCTTTTGACTTCATCCTCACATGCAGGGCCAGATCAGCATCACCGATCAGCGGCTGCAACAGTGCATGCATCTCGTATCCAGAGTAACGCGTTGTCGAGGCTTGGAATCAGGCGAGTACGGCATAGCACTTACATAGGTAGGTACATAACCTCTCATCACATCATGCCAACACCACGTATGGATCTCCATTCGCTAAGCAAATCATGGTGTACATACTGAGTAGTAGAGAGGATGTTCAAGTGGGTAGTGATGTGATCTATAATAGTAACTGAGTACCTAGGCCTGCATAGCACATTGCAGTTAGGTAACCTCCATTCGCAGTACGTACCATATACAAAACGTCAAGTCTCCCTCAACTGCCATCTTCCATTTCATTTCAATTATCTCAGCCACCAAACATAAGCCAAAGTCGATTATCCCTTCAATCAGAACCTCAATGGATATTGAATTCTCGCTTACTTCTCGATCTGTGACACAATTCCCATGTCGGCGTCCTAGCGTAGCCTTGTGGAGTTGAACAAAAAGCTTGACTCAGCATAGAAATCTTGCCAAGTTTCCTTGTGTGTTTGGCAATTGCTTATACAGCGGGACTCATTTGTCGTTCCTTTAAAATCGATGCAAATAGAGATCTTGTCTTCAAAAAGACGGCGGCTTTGCAAAAAAATCCATCATGTAGTTACTGGAGTGGAAATGTTTCCTCAGAGGGCAGTAAATGCAAGTCCAAATACATTAACAAGTAAATAATAATTACATGCCTAAAAAAGACATCGCCTCATGAATCATCATCCCATCGAGGCCGATTCATGATAATGGGTCTCGCGGGATCCCACGGTCCTCGTATCTCGTTCTTGTACTTCTGAAGCCCTATCAGCCACCAGCTGCAGCCTCCTGTAGCCAGTATGGCGATGAGCATTCCGACAATCATGCCCACTAGTCCACTCTTCCATGGCCATCCAACTGTGTTCTTATCGTATCCCAGTATTAGGCCGACTCCGAAGCTTGCACCTAGTACCAGCAGAATGGCAGAGAGGATATGGAAGCGCCAGCTTCGATGTCGTACATAGCGTCGAAACACTGGAAACAACCCAAACACCTCGATGCTGAAGAGTGTCAGACTGAACACTTGCTTGGTCGATGGTAGTCGGCTGGCGAGTACAGTCGATGCCATCAAAGCAGCATTTGTGGACAGCGATGCTGGAAACTTGGCGCCTACACCTCCAGAGTAGTCAAAAAAGAAGATGTTGATCGCGAGAAGCCAGAAGGACATAGCCCAGATGCTGTCGCTTGATGTTGATAGCGTTAGCGACTTGAGAATGGGGCTCAGTCCGAGGAGCGTGCAATAGATAAGAATCGCAGACTTGACTGTCTCCATCCTCTGTCGATATCGATTTTCTTCTGCCAGGAGGGGAGGCGGTAGTTCAGGGAGATGCTCCTGACTCGCTCGTGGAGTGTGTGCGATGCCACTGGCCAGGGAGGTCGTCGAAGCAGACTGAGCTCGATGCATCGTGCTGGGCGCATGCAGGTTGGTTGTTGAACTCGCAGCCGAAGCGACAGCAGAGGGTGCGGCGGTAGACGGCGCCGACTCGACCCGGAGCGGAGGTGGACGCCGGATACTGCCCGTGCGGGTTGGTCGCCTTAGACTTCCAGTCCGACCGGCCCTTCCCATCACATTCGCTGCAACGCCAAGGCTCGGATCGTCCGTGTCCTCGATCTCTGATAGCCAACGTTCCCAGAGGATCCATCCTACAAACGTCGCGAAGCTGCTCCAACTTGTGACAGCAACAGGAGACACGCGCTCCTGAAATATGCCAACAAAACAAACAACAAAGATTATGACTGAACAGACGTGCTGTAGTATGACCGTAGAGTCAGCGACGAGTGGCCAGAAGTCGTATGGCTTGAGACGAGGGTTGCGCTGGAGATTCTCGAGGAAGGTGGCTTGATCTGTGTAGTTATCGGGGTCTGTAGGCTCAATTGTTAACTGCCATTGTCCAGTACAATAATTTTCTGAGGCCTACACGACTGCTTAACCCACATCAGCTTCTTCCATGGGCGTTTACGTCTTCGGCTCCGGCCTCGCGGCCCTCGAGGAGGCGACACAAAGGCATCGTCAGGGGAAAGATGAGAACGACCGAAGCCATGGAGGGCCGAGTGGTCTAACGAGGGGAACGGCGTCTCGTCGTCGGTAGGGGGTGTCATGCTATCGAGAAGGCATTGGAGGCGTCGGGATCTGGGTCCGGGTCCGGGATCGGGATCGGGGGGTTGGCTTGAACCTGGACTTTCTGTTGGTGAAGTTGGAGCCGGAGCTGAAGTTGGAGGCTGGTGTTGATGCCAATTGACACCTGTAATGAGTGGGTCGCCCAGGGTTAGTGGACTTGGAGATCGTGCCGTAGTGTCTCCCGTCATGGAAATATATGGGATGGATCTACAAAGCAAAGTTAGACTATAGACAAGTGCGTGCGTGGGCCCGGACGTAGCTGTGTGAGCTGCGCTGTAATGTACTGACTGTACTGTATGTAGGTGGCTAGTAAAACATCCATCCCATGCTTTGATAGTTGAGATGTGATGGGTTTATCGTCATCTCCAGCTCCCACCGGAGGATGTTGATCCTGCAGCAGTACAATATTCGTATACGCAAGTACCTTCTTGGGTACCTATTCCTTGTCTCTCGGATTTTGTACCTCGACTGTTGAGTACCTACTTCTCACTTCAGGCAGGAGGATAACAGGAAGGATGGAGCTGTCTTATGGTGGGGTTGGTGATACACTTGCAGCTTCCCACTCATAGGTAGGCAGGCAAACTTGGAACTGCACAACTCATGGTGCAGTCACCATCTGGGTTCAGTAGTACAAGTTTTCTCTCTCATCTCGTATCCTCTCGTCTCCTCCCGCAAAGTCGAAATACGACCATACAACAAACACGATAGAAAATGTACTGATGCGCGGACCAAGAATCAAAAAGCAGCTTTGATCAACCCTCGGGCCATTTCACTACCCTATACAAGCAGAGTTAACTCAACCGCCTGACGACTCCTCATCACTCGCATGATTTCACAAACAGCACCTTGCATTGCATGAGGAGGAGAGAACATCCGCCGGAGAGAAAACTCAGGTCTGGCGGCTACAGTGCGATCTTCTTGATGATATTGGATACCGAGAGTGACAACATTGAGTATACGCAGATACGCATGTACACCGATGTTTCAAGCAGTCATCAGCCATTCCAATATTGAGCACATCACCGCCCTTCCTTCGATCCACCACCCACCATCCCATCCTCCTTGACCAGCCAGTCTGCCTTGGCATATTCAGTTACTTCTAACCGAGAAACTGGGTTGATATGCTAGACATGGTTCGTGGATACGCAGCATACAGAACGGACCGTGCAGAATGCAGGCCTTCTCTCCCCGTCACACCTATAAAACCGCATAGTTATCTCCACTCCTCAATAGCGACCACTTCGCGGCTGCCAGCCAATGGATCAAGTTAGCTCTCCCGATCCTGAGAGATCGATTTGGAGAAAAACGTGGTCTCGGGACCCAGAACCAGCCACGCACCCGTACCTGCTGATGTGCTGTTATCGGAGAAATTGGATCATGTCGATGGCAAAATGAAATAGGAGCCCGGTGTTATTGCCCGATATCCATTTGCTCAGCCTTCACACTCATCACCATCATTATCTGCAGTCACCAAGGATGCCCACTGCCTGCCCCAAGTCAGATCTCACTGCCAATCATAGCCAGACTTGGTAAAGGCGTTCATTCTTGGACTGTCCCAGAACCAGTTCACCGGCACCAATCGCGTACTATCCCGCCTCAAGTTAACAGGCTCCACACGGGGTTACCCGACATCCCTTGCAGGTTCCCGTCCAAGCCCTTCCGCCTCACTTCAAGCACATTTTGTTAAGCCAACCATACCGCTGGGTCCATACCAAACTCGCAGTTTTTCTCTACAGTACGGAGTGTACATAGGATCGGAAGATGACTCGGTACATCCACCGCAAGAAAGAGGACACATCTTAGATTCCCAACAGCAGAAGAAGGTCGAAGCAAGCTTGGAATGGATAACCAATTAACTCACTCCTTTGGTGTGTTGAGCTGAGCTGAAAGTGTCTGTTCGCGCGTTGACCCACGTTCTCGGACAACTGTCACCTACGGATACTAGCCTCGTGATAGACAATCGACATTCCCGGCATCATAAGCGGTCACCTCCAGGCTCCAGATGACTGTATGTAACTGGGGAGATTGCAGTCCGGGCTGAGGAGGTCCTGATTCTGATTGATCTCTCCGGCCCTAGCATCGCGTCGTATCGGTCTTGCCCACTGGCAGGCTTTTGCGTCGTATGCAGCCACGACTGGGATAGTCTGCCACCGTCCAACTCACATCAGGCCATTATCCAAGACATAGCATAATTCACTAATGCTATAGACACACGGACTGATCGGTTGTCTCGAATGTTGAGCGTTGTCTTTTGGCTGTTTCGACTCCGTACGTACACAACGAGATATCCTATCAAAAATTTGACCAAAAAACAAGACAAGACTATAAATCATACTTGAAGCAAGACGATGAGCTAAAAAGGGCGGCGAGGGGAAACGACGGGCGTTGTGAGGCTTTTGCCAGATTTGCTTTTTACAAGACAAGTGAGAGTCAAGAGGTAAACAAGGAGCGCGAAATGTTCGATCAAGTGTGATCGTCCACTTAACATCTTGCACCATCTGCGGCTCCCCCGGTCTCATCACCACTTTGTTCCTTGGAAAGCTGTCTCATTGGTAGGTTGACCGAGACATCAGAATCCGCCATGCAGCCTGCCGCCATCGAACCGCTGAGTGCGGTGTCGGTGAACCATCCCGGTTTTAGTAGGCTGTGACACAGTATGTACAGCACATAGTCTATCTACTATCTACCACCTACATACCTTACATGCATGCACGCATGCATGTATGCACCGCGTCCGACGATGGCTTCACGAGGATCAATTATTTTCCCCGCCCCGGACGTGCCGCAAACGGTCATGGCCCCCCCCCCCCTACTTGTAGGTATGACACCGTTTCCGTCTGTCCTCGTGAGAATCCCTGCTCTGGGGTTCGACACTATATACCCGACGTGAGATTAAAACCGCCGCTGATACCTCTTGGTTGGCAGCCAAACTTTGATGTCTTCTCTTGGTCTTTATTCCTTGGAGTTCATATACTCCACCCTCTATTTACTATGATGGACATGTCTTCTTCGTCTCATGATCTCGAGACCATTTCGTCTTTGTCCCCCTCCACCTCAGCTACGACCGACTTTAATTCTTTACCAACAGAACTTCGTCTCAAGATATGGTCACGAGCCAGTGAGCCCCGTATCGTTCTATATGGTGATCTGGTTCAAAAGAGCCGGTCTTATCCCTTGCCTACCGTTACTCAACTCACTGCGGAAGCGCGAGATGAAACCCGCGTGGGGTACGAACCAATTGGTAATGGATCATACTTCGACTTCTCCAGGGACATCCTCCTCTGTGACCACAGGATCTCAGATCAGGTGACCGACCAGTACCTAGATGGTCTTGCCCCGCGGATACAGCGTCTTGTCTTCTGGGACTGCTTCCCTGATGATGGACGGGTGGAGGGACCCTATCACTACTCTGTCTATCTATCGGCGTGTTACCGGCAGCCAGATTTTGGGAAAATCGAGTTCGACAGGTTTTGGTTTCCTAACGTGGATGATATGTGGATTGTCAAGGTGGGGGAAATCGACCCAGCGTGGATGGTCCAGGTGAACCCAGAATTGCCATACAGAAGGCGACTTCAACAGTTGGCGAAGCAGTTCAGATACTGGGTGGACGAGAACATCATTGAGATGGCACCCCTGGACCTGAGTGAGCCAGAAGCACAGGCTGTCTTGAAAGATGGCCGTTGCGGAAAAGAGGACTGCCACGAACTCAACAGACAGCGCAGTATCATGCTGTCCAAGGTTGCCTTCCTCGACGGTAGATACAGGGCCCCTAATGACGGACAGAAATGGATCCGAATCATTTCATGGCAAGCTGGTGAAGAGAAAGTCGTCTACGAAAACAGAATGAGATGGGTGGTTGTTGAGAGAATTCTGACGTTTGATTTGCAACGAGATGGATGGAGCGAATCTGGAGTGGAAGTGAGACGACGTAGCATTCAAGGTAATTGAACTCGATGGGGGATACCTTTGACAAGCGCAAGGCTCTGAACGATAAGAACAGTACCTAGGCCCTGGACAACTAATATGTGCGTGAAGTTCAACAACGGCACCAACACAAGGAAGAACAAATTGACACTCGCTGAGGGTAAATGAAGAAGAGACATGGAGAGAGGGTCAGGTTATGAAGAGAACTTGTTGGACTATCATGTCCTACCAGAAATGACGGGCACAACGATCGGAACAAGCTGTGGTCTAGCGCTATCATTATGGGCAACTCAATGATGAAACAGGCAACGGTATCTAATTGTTTAAATATTCATTCTAGACATACTGAGGTATGTTGTTTCTGTTATGCATTGCATTTGTAAATTTTATTTTTGAAACAAGCAGAACAGAATGATCAAAGAAACGGCAAAACTGAAAGACTATTTCCTCAATCCTCAGGTAGACCTGCATATTGTAAATGAACTTTTGAACAGCCAATGTTGTTCGTGTATTGCGCCATAGTTCAGAGTACTTCAGCTTGGTTATCTGACATGGAACATCCCATCCCATCTCCCCTCATACTGAGATGGACGATGTGATAGTGGTGGTCGGGCGAACAGAGGAGGATAAAATCACATCACATCTCTGTTCATTGGAAGGCCGCAATGAACAGAGATGTGATAGCATGAACGACGCCTAGAAAATGATGAACATTTCATCTTTATACTGATGTCCCAGGCATGAATTCGACTATAAAGCAAAGATATTCCGCAGCTAGAATGGCATACACGAATCCATCTCAACATCGCAAGTTCAGCAGTTTTGGACATACCCACAATCTTGTCACCTCTATCATGTTTTCAGTACTGCTCAACACCGAGCAAGTGATACTCGCTACCATGGGTAGTGATATCCACAAGCTCATTGGCCCCAAAATTGTCAGTTTCTTCCCTGAACGAGCATCTAGAAGCGAAGATGACTATCGCAGCATCAAGGCAATGATATACATGGGCGGATCTCATATGCCCAGACCTGGACTATATCAAGTGTTCGAGCGACTTCACCGCACTCGTTTCCAAGACAGGAATCATCGGTCGAGGCGAATGTCTGTTACAAAGGACACCTTCTTGACACACAACATGGTCATCCCAAAGCCTGTGCCCTCGCAATTTGGATATCCTCATGGATACGACCTCATCAGTCTTGACCTGCATCTAGTTGCGTCAACTTTTGATTACGAAGAAGCAATTACACACATTCAGTTGACAGACTATGCTTGGCGACCCTTGAGCCTCAAGACGTTCCCTCACCTTGAAGAGTTTACTATGATGTGCCTGCGACCTACCAGCTGCAGAGACCAAAGTCATTTGCCCTTCCTCAATTCCTCAACAAACAGACGAGGTGAGTACTATGGTTTCCGCTACCACCAAGATACCCGACGCGTGGAGTACACTCAGCTAATTTGGTCTGACGTCGCAGAGCTTGCATCTGCTGGCGAGGATCTTACAAATGGGCTATTTCCTTATACAATTGTCCGTTTGTGGATCGTCGGACAACGTCGTGATCGGTATAAGATGCTAAGAGAGCTTGAGTGGACGCACCTAGACCTGTATCCAAAGTCTAATGAGCGCTATCTCGGCAGAATCAGAGACTTGTGGGTGCTGACTCGAATAAGACTCGAGAACCCGATCCGAGATGAGACATGTCAGATGGTAGTCTGATCGACTTTGGGTAAGTATTTTGCCGTGTTTTCGAAAGCAAAAGGATTGGGATGTGAGTTTGAGTTGAAGTTGAAGTTGCTTTGTTTGATGTTTTGGATGTACTGCTGGCCGTTACTCTCTAGCATTTGTGTTTGGTTTGTTAGTTTACCTCGAAATCATTATATATATATATATATAAAAGAAGAAAAAAAAAAGAAAGGGGGTTGGATATTATTATTGCATTAGGATCCGTGACTTGAATTGCTATACTGTTGCTAGGCAAAGAGTAACAAGTGTATGCTCTTGCCAGGCAGATGATTGTCTACCTATAAATCTGGTTAGAACAAGGCCCAAGAATTGATGTCATATCGTCAGTGCAAAAAGAAGACATCACAACTGAATAATTGTATTGGTGTGACAATTGTTGATGTACTAGATGCCATTCTCGCCTTATTGACAAAGCAGTTGCCTAGATATTGCTGCATGCATACCTGGGCTTTATGACCCTGAGTTACTGCAACCGAGCACCAGCAGTATACCCAAGACATTGCAATTCCTCAACCATGACTACCAGGATCCTTTTGACGTGACTGATATTCATCTTATTTGAAATATGACAAGCAAGTGTTGTGTAAAAAGATACATATTCGACTCCAACACATGAAGTTCCAGCGCTCAAACAGTCTAGCCTCCTTTAGTGTACACGGCAATGGGCTCGTCAAATCCGATAGCGCTCCTACAGCGATATTATATTACGTTCCTCCGATCGTTTCGTCTCAAACTTGAAGCCCGTGACCATTCTCCTGCTGATTTCCGTAGCCTGTTGCCCAGACTTATACTGGCAGCTGAAAGGCCCTGCATTCGTGAGGGAAAAGAGGACTCAACTCTCTCCCAGTTACGAGGCATCTTTGCGTCGTCGTCGCTATCATCCAAGGCTGGACCGGGCAACATCATCATATGTCTTTGCCCCTTGAGCATGGCTCCCTGAAGGGCTGCCCATGATTCAACCTGGCCATCTGCTGCCTCCTCCACACAGTTGCACTCGTCGCCTGCCGGGCATTGCGTTTCGCCAGCAGCATGCCACTCTGCTAGACACGCCTCATGACTTGCACAACCACAAGCCAAGCATGGAGGGAAGAGAGCATCCACAGGCTCAAGGCAGTACACACATGTAAGCTGACTCTGAGTTTGATGGCAGCGATCACATGTACCAACAGCACCACCGACCTTGGAGTCACTGGAAGTATAGCGAAGTGGTTCCAGCTGTGTTTCGTGTATACGGCACATCCCTGTGACATCAAGACCGCGGCCTGATGCAAGCAGCGCTTGAAGCTGATCCTTCTTGCCCATGGCAATGGGCGATGAGTTATGTGCTTTGCCATCGTGACCAGCGCCTGGCTCATGGAAGGCGTCGTCACCGTGTCCTCCAGTCATGTCCTCCTTGAGCGAGTTGAATTTCATAATCTCCAGTCTGGAGAGTGGTTGGTTCCACATTTGCAGCATTTCAGCATACGCATATCGATAACGAGCATGGACATCCGCCTGACTGGACTCGAGCATGGATACGTTCAGCCAACCATCATCGTCGAAGGCGGTTTGATCCTCCATTGTCACGGCAATCTTTGTGGGCACAAGTGACACATAATCATCCCTCACATAATCGTCATCATCCAAAGAGGTTCTCCCACCATTCGAGTCCATCGCGGTCGACGCACTCCATGTAACATTGCCTGGAGCCAGACTGCTGAGAATCGTCTCAGCAGGGCTGGGTCTCTTTCTTACTTGATTTGGAGGTGACGACGAGCTGACCCCTGCAAACGAACGTGGCAGGTTGGCAGCAAAAGCTGATGCCAGACCCGAGTTTGCTCTATTTAGAAATCGTGTGTTTGGAGACGTAGACACACTGGGCGGTGCCTCAACTTCCCCTAAATACCCCTTGAATTTATTTGGCGGCGTCTCTCCACAAGAGTACGAGTTCGATGCTGCATCGCCACCCCATATGCCATCGTCTGACGCCTGGGATCCAGAATAGTGGACAGGAGTGTGCACTGTCATCGGTGTTGTAATAGCTGAGTTGGTATAACTGCGTCCACCAATATTCCATAGTGAGGCATCAGTGGGGAAGTAGTCTAGCGAGAAAGCTGGTGCCTTGAAAGGGAGCGGAGTTTCGGGCTGCGGTAGATGCGATTCAAAGTAAGCCACACTGTCTGCAGCAGAAGATTCGCTGAATATACAAGAAAGCATTGCCAGCATTTGGATATCCGCAACCTGCTCATAGTATGCAAAAAGGTCCATGATGAAGTCCCTGGCCAAGGGATGTCTACCCCATTTGACTCTGCCCGACAATGCACCTTCATGTCTTTCCAAAAGGGAATCGTGAGGAGAAGTATCGGCATTGCACCTGGAAACCACATCGTGTGCGATTACCAGAATAGAATCGCGCCTCTGATTGTGGGCGAGTATCTCTAGCGGAACGCCCTTCTTTAATAGAAGCCCAAGATACCGCCAGACATCAACCAGATCTCGAGCGTTGTACTTCTCAGCAACCTTTGCGTTGTGCTCACAGACCTCGGCTCCATCGCCAAAGATGGCGTACTCACGCGCAAATTCCTCTTTCGAAGGGAGAAGACCACGGAAGTCATGTATCGAGACTAGGTTCTTGGGCCGACCAGGCCTCCTGCGGCTTGTGCCAGTGCCAGTACCAGTGCCTACTCCCGTACCACCGCCACTCGAGCGAATTGATCTGTCTTCGCTCCATGTTTTCCTAAACTGGCGACTAGGGTGGTACCAGAGATTAATCTTGTGCATTGACGTAGACTCTGAATCGCTCGAAGATGATGAGGATGAAGACGATCCAGAGTCGTCGGTATCAGAATCCCCACTAGATGCGGAACTGTCTTCCGCCATAAAACGTTGTCGAGGCCCAAGATCATGTGCGATTCTGCCAAAGCCTGCAAAGAATGGTTCCCCCTTAGGGCGTTCCCTATAAGCGTCCATGGTGGTGGTGAACAATGCCCGTGCCTTTTCCTCTTTGGAGGGGAAGAAACAGATCAGTCGTCCATTGTGTGAGAACCTGGCACCGCAGGTCCTGGGTGGTGGTGGCACGATTGTCCTATTCGGAGGCGCAAGCGCGGTATCCAGCTCGTTATGAGGGGGCAGTTCTTGAGACATGGATGCTGAACCGCCAGCGGGGATATCCTCGTCGGATTCACTAGAGCTCTCGTCCGCTAAGCCATCAAGTTCATCATCTAAATCTCGAACGTTCTTGAAGAAGGTTGTGCTGCTTTCAAGATCAACTTCCCCAAGGAGATACGTAAAGGCAACTTCTAGGCAATTCTTTTTTCTCTGTAAGAACTGGTTGGCCAGTTGATGAATCTCGCGATCAATCTTTTTGTGAGTCTCTGCAGGCATGAAGGACGATTTTTCAACATAGAACTTAGGCGCCCTGGTCTTGGGATAGCCGACTGGAATATCAATCCGAACCTTAACGAATATAGTTTCCCCATCGGCGCCCCAAGGGCCGTTCAGTGAGGCATTGAGAGTCAAACTGTCCATATCAATGTTGTCCCACCTCACTTTGGGAAGTTGATGGCTGATGCGTAAAAGTTCCTCCTGAATAGACTCAGGTTCTGCCCAGTCATCGTCAGGGTATCCATGGCCAAAGATACCCGAGTCTTTTGACAAGTGTCGTTTGGCGCTCGTTGATGCCTTTCTCTTAGTCATGGCAATTCCTTTCATCCATCCTATTTGCGACTGGTTACGATCGACGGATCTTCCAGATACCTTGGCCTTCATTGAAGGACCTCGCCATGCCATCGATGTACGGTGGCTTTGAGTTGTGCCTGATCGCATTCCTAGAGTTAGAGCACTTTGCTTATGATAGCTGGTGCCAGGCCGGTGATCACTCATTGTAGCAGATTTACGATCGCGATCCGTACTTTCGTCTACTGTACGGAAAGTCTTATATGTTGCGCCTTTTCGAGTGATACTGATTGCTGGATCGGCTGGCATGCCGCGTTCATGGCCGATAGCGGCGAAGATCTTGGGGTCGATGCATTGAAGCTTCAGTTCGTTGTCTGTGCCCCAAGAGACGAGCTGGAATTCACGGTTGTCTTTACCGTCGTCAGTTATGCCGCCACGGCATCGCCACAGAAATTCCTTTGCTTTGTGATCTCCGTGCCCCGGCCAGACATCGATTGGTTGACTGGTCACTTTTGATTCTGGTTCAAAGTTGGTGTCATAGAGATAAAGATCACCCGGTTCGTTCTGGGGTATTGCTAGGAGGCCGTGCCCGAAAGGTGTATGACGAGCTCTCCACACTGGAAATCCAGTTTCAATGGTATGCTGCAAAGGCTCTTCCGCAGTATAGTCCCAGAAGTTGATCCTCTTGTCGATGGAACAGGAGACGATCGCCTTCGGGTCAGACCGATTCCAGTCCAGGCCATATATCTTGGATTTGTGAGCTTTGATGGATTTTAGAGGCTCAGAAGAACGGCGTTCATCCCAAATATGCAACCATCGATCGTGAGCAGAAGCGAGAATGTGAGATGCTTGGCGGTTATATTTGACCTGAGATGCCCCAGCAGTCCAATCGCAGAAGGTCAAAACAGGCTGGCGCGGTCTTCGAAGATCCCATGCGTGAATATAGCCATCTACTGAGCAGGTCGACAAGAGATCTGGATGGTGAGCAGACCAATTGACGTCTGTAATAGCACGACTGTGGCCTTGAAGAGAATGTTCTATGGCACCTGAACTTGAGTCTTCCCTCCGATTGAGATTCCACACCAGGGCACGATGATTGGCAGCAGAGACGATCCAGTAGTCGCGAGCAGCAAAGGGTGACCATTGGACATCCACAACCAACCACGGAAGGCCATGAGTTCTCAGTCGCCGGGGAGGGCTATATGGGGAGTCAAGATCTATGATCGCCAATCCATCAGGCCTATCTTGTTGTTAGAACCTATCAAGTCAACAGTACACTTTTAACCTACGAAGCCAAAGCGACGTCTCGCCCAGCAGGTGAGATAGTGGCAGAGCCGACTAGGCCATCAACATGAATGGTGCCATCTGACTCGAAACTTTCGCTCTCGTAGGCAGATTTGATGACCTTGCCCTTCTTGGGGGCATCAGCAAGTTGGTCGAAGGAGGGCATGGTGATGGGCTATCTCGAGAGGGTATCACGACGTTCCTCATGTCGCAACTCATATGATATGAGGTAAGGAGAGGAGAGGACAGGAGACACGGCGGACTGCCACTGAATGGCTTTGAATCATGTCATCATCCACAAGAGGCCAAAGAAGGATAGAGGCGTTTAAGTGCAGCAGGGGAGAAGAGTTGCCCAGGGCAATGTATTCTTGAATACGAACGTTGTATAAAGATGTTTATTAATGAAGTTACTCAACTGAGCTCGCGTTCCTCACTGGATGAATGATTGACAGGAGGTGGTCAGAGCGCGCGACATCGTTCCACAAGGAGGTACCGCTCTTGCTGGTTGAGGTGTTGTGGTACATCCCATCCCCCGCCCCCCAATTGAAGTGCGTGTGAAAGGTTCAGGACTTCCATGACGGAACCTTCCGCGACCTTTATTGGGCAGATTTGTTGTATGACAGCGCCTAATAAAGGACATGTACTTTGAAGTATAGCTCTCTACTACATACTCTACGTACTAAGGTATAGACAAACTATAGTACCTACCTAATAATGGATGCACATGGCTTATCTACCTACCTATCTACCCATCTTTGCCTAACCATTTGTTGATAATCGTCACTTGATTTAAATGATCAGGTGTCAAAACAATTCCGTTTATTTGTGGCACGCTGCCAGAATCTTTCTTTTCGTTTAATCGCTCCCATCGGGTCTTGTTAGATTGCTTGCTTCTCGATAATACAGGTCTCTACGGAGTACCTGCCACTGCGACTGCCCCGCCGTTGACCTTAATAAGTGCCCGCCAGGTATTTCAAGCATTCAACCCAGACCTCACCCAACCACAACCCTTCCCGGTCTCTACGTAACTCTATCGAAAGCTACCGCTACGAAGACACGATATCGCACAAGCAAGCACTCACCGAGATAAGAACCGTATCCACCGATATCGAATATCGTCGAAATACCTTCACATTACCCCCCGACTCCATCATGGCTCTCCCCAAGCGCATTATCAAAGAGACAGAACGGCTCATGGCCGAGCCGTAGGTCATCCCCAAGGCTACAGGTCTTGCGCCCTGACTTCGTAACCTAACACTCGTCGCAATACAGTGTTCCAGGAATCAGTGCCGTTCCTCACGAGGATAACCTCCGATATTTCGATGTCCAAATTCACGGTCCCGCCCAGTCTCCGTATGAGGGTATGCTCTGTATCACTACCAGTTGATCTGCCTACTAATTCAGAATTCAGGTGGTGTTTTCAGCCTCGAGCTCTTCCTCCCCGACGATTATCCAATGACTCCTCCCAAGATTCGATTCCTAACCAAGATCTTCCACCCAAACGTCGATAAGCTTGGTCGTATTTGCCTCGATGTCCTCAAGAGTGGGTTGCATATCAGGGTGCATATAGGTCTGGGACGGCCAAGCTGACAAACGCTACAGATAACTGGTCTCCCGCTCTTCAGATCCGAACTATCCTCTTGTCGATCCAGGCCCTCCTCGGTGCTCCTAACCCGGATGACCCTCTCGCTGCAGATGTCGCCAAGAGCTGGAAGGAGGATGAGCAGGCCGCTATTGCAACCGCCAAGGAATGGACTGCCCAATATGCGAAACCTTGAGGGGAAATGATACACCGGGATTAAATACTTGAAAAAAAAAAAGGAATTTAAACACACATGAATGACCAAGTTGGGAGAACAAATGCTGGAGTTTAGGAGCCAAGCGATGTCTCATGGAGATTCTTTCTATTGGCTTTGAGTGGGTACAATGGCACTCGCAGGTTTGCTCTTGGTCTTGTCTGATAGACCTGAATGCTTTTGCTGTCAAGAAACGCATCGCCATTTTGTCTAGTCTTATCCTGATACTTTCAACGATACCTGCCGCTTCAGTGTGAAAGGATCGTATCCAACTCCCTCCAGGCAGCTCCTTGACCTTTCAGTTACTGGTGGGTTGTTCCCCGTCGTACCTCCACCACTGTGACATCCCAGAGCTGTGATCTGAACCTTGTTATCTATGTATATCAGAAGTTAATTGAATCAGGAGACAACTTAAATCTTGATTCTTACACCAGGTGGTAGGATGGTGTTTCTCCTTAAACATAATCCAACGATAAGTTCACAGAATATAGGGGTGTTTGGTGGTCAGTATTGGCAACCATTATACTGAACAAATTCTCGTTCTCAGGAAGATCTGTGTCGACTTGAAGAATCTCTGTTACTCTGTGTTCGCCGAGGACTGGAATTCTCTAACCTATGAGGGCCAAGATCCGAATAACGTCTAACCTTCATGCTTTGTGCCATAAGAACAAGTGGTGTCATTCTATCGAACGATCCCTCGCCAATATATTCAATGAGGGGCCATCATGACAGGCCCCAAATCTGTCTTGAAAAAACGCTTTTCATGGCTTGCGTCCAATGTTACTTGGCGCGAATCTTTGAGAACGAGCAAATCCCTCTTCGAAAACTATGAGTGTCGCGAGGAAGATTAAAGGACTCACCTAAGGCTTGGTATCTGAAAGGAAATCCAATACCTTACAGCCCTGAATTGTATGTAAAATATTATTTGTTATTTCTTTTTCTACTGCTGTACTCTACTGGAGGGTTTGAAGGGCTTATTGGGGGCACATTGTTACGGTAGAAGTGGCAGTGGAGAGAACAATCATACAATAGATCAAAATCTCCTATGCTTGGAAGTAATGAAAAATGCATGCCCCGTTCCGATTTATCTTCTCCTACTTGAGAAGCCATCGGAATCCGTCCAGCATATGTTTCTCGCAGGTCAAGGCATGATCGAGGTGAGGAGCCTTGAGCCAAAAGGTATGCGGCCAGCCCACCTCCACCTGAACCTTGACATCGATACCTGCTTCCCTAAGAATCATGGCATAGCATAACCCATCCGAGTACAGGGGGTCGTTTGAAGTCAGCTGAATCCAAGTACGAGGATGTCCCTTCAGCTCGTCTTCCGAAACCTCAAGAGGTAATTTCTCAAGACCATCCCTCGGTGTGTTTCGGTGTAAATATCCGCCCAATGATGTGATGAACGTTTCAGACACGCTTGTGTGATATGGACGCAACTTTTCAGGTACATATTCCTCGCCACTGGCTCTGTCCGCTGTGACTGGACACCTCAGTAGAAGTCCGTGAATGGCACCCTGAGGAGCTGCTTGCGCCACTGCAGATGCCATCTGTCCACCACTCGAGCTTCCGATAACGATGGTTCTTATCTTTGGGTTGTGGAATTTATGAAATCCATCCAAGCTGTCAGAAAGACAGACGGTAGCTGGATTTTGAGGCAGCAGGCGATAGCCCACTGAGTAAAGTCGAATCCTGGCAATGCGTGACTTGACAATATGCCTGCAAGATAGTTCTTCGCTATCCGCCTCGCCAACCCTCAGGCCGCCGCCGTGGTAAAATATAACGATAATCTCCGGCTCCTCAGCTTCGGCACCTGTAAGGTCCAGTTGAAGGACGGGGATTGGATGCCCATCCACAGAAGAGGGAATAGTGAACTCTTTCTTCGTAACTCCCTGGGAGAGCTCATGGTCTCGGGTTCCAGGCGCCGTAACTTGAGCATATAAGTCGCGGCATTCCTGAGCATAAATTGGTTGCCGTTCTTCTATACTGCTGAATACCCTTGGGGGGCCTTTCTTCTTGGCCTCTTCTTCATGTGCCAGCCAAGCAGCGTCTAATTGCGGTGCCGTCTTGAAGACAAAGGTTTCGAGTTCCGGATCTGGAAAGACCATATTTGATGTTGATCTGGTATTTTGACAAAGGACTTGATTGGAGAAGTATTCGCAATACTGACCATACGTTACGAGGGATATATAGCGTATCGTGTAAGTCGGGATATTCAGGCTAAAATCCGACACGTGACCCTGATATTGCTGTAGGATTCCGAGCAAAGATACTGCACGAGACTGACTACATACCTAGAGCGACGTCTGAGGATTTAGAGCCTTGCAGTTTTGGCCGATAACGTTATTTGAGTAGAAGACCCTCAGAACGGAATAGCCAAGCTTGGATTAAAACAAAGAAGATAGAGGAGTCTAATAGCTAAAAAAAAAAAAGATAACTTATAAGAAGCTCAATCTTTACCAATCGACTCCTGGATATGGGATATCAGCAACTATTCTACATAGTGTGCTTCCTTTCATATAGTCCGACACCGGACTTGGACTTAACTCTCAGGTTGTCTTCAGATATAGGGTATGACAAGAGATGCGTAATGATGCAGATGACTGAAACGTTGCAGAACAGAATGAACTTGATCAGATGGTGTGCCTATATTACGGTTCACTTTGGGCACATCAAGAAATTGCCCTGTGCATTGGGTGGTGTATGGGAATTCGGCCAACGTCTCCCTCGGATTGTTCAACCTCCTGAAATGACTGTCTCCATACTCGATAGGTATTGGGCCAAGTATCGACGAAGGAGTGAAGGTTCATTCCAAAAGTTGTCATAAGACGACACTCGAGAGTGACGGGAACAAAGAACTAGGATGCTCGGCGTGAATTGGCAATCAAGAGACGTAAATTTGAGAGGTCCGAGGTTAGTCTGGTAACTAAGAACTCGAACACTATGCTTCAAATCGAACCGCATTCTCAATAACTCAATAAAAATTCATTATAAAGCACAGAGGAAAAATTGTAGCGAATTGGGTATGAGACAAGCCGGGTTCTGCCTCGGGATCTTGTATCTACAATGCTAGAGTACACAACACGAAGTCGGAAAAGGTATATCGCGATTCGTTTAAACCACAGCCAAGTCGCCGAACTTCTCCTGCAGTGTGTGTTAGTACTGTCAATTCCTCTGTCATCCGGACAACATACCTTGTATCCTGGCACCATCCATCGGCCCTTGGAAACGAGCTGAGCAGTCTTCTCGTCGATAGACTTCTCGGCAGCGGCAACCTCGTCCTATAACTTGTGAATATCGACCCAACAGTCTCAGCTTCGGTAGTACGTACGACAGTGAGTTCCTCGAATGGTCGGGCCTCCTCGATGTTCTTGAGGGTAGCGGCAAGATCCTTAAGTTCAAGGTCAACGGCCTCCTTGGTAGCCTCGGCGTTCTTGACGGCCTCGGCCTCGAAAGCGTCGATAGCCTTCAGTTGTCGGCTAACATCGTAGGTGACAGGCTTGAAGGCGCTGAATCGCTTCTCGATCTCATCGATGATAGCCTGGTTCTTGAGGACGGATCGGTACTGGGAGAAATCGACGGTGGTGGGCTGCTCCTGGAGCTGCTGAACCTTGCGGCGGACGTCCTCGTTGCGCTTCTTGAAGGCCTGCAGGGAGGCAACGGTCTGGCCACGGAGACCGAGGGAGCTGGTGACCTTGGTCCAGTCAAGCTTGAGAGCTGCGCTTCGCTGTCGGAGAAAGGGAAAATTAGCTCACGGCATCCTGGGACGTAGAGGCGCGCGATCGGGGGCCGGGGGAGAATTTCGACAGCACCTGCGATCAGTCACACGCGCCAATTGATGAATTGAACTTACAGTCGCCATTTTGAGGAAGGTTACGATGTCGAGAGAGCGGAAAGGATAAACTTGATTGACTGTTGATGACTTTGCCGAAGTTCAGGGAACTACCGGGCACTAGGAAGTCACGTGCTTCCACTCAAATATCCGGCGGGTGGCGTTTTCGGACCCCTCATTGACGTCGGCTCAGGATGAGCGAGGACAAGAGTTGAGGAAAATTGAGGCTCAGAAGCCGATCAATGGCAAGAGAATATTGAGCGATGAGACACGAGATGCAGAAACTCTCACGAACCGGAGTACGGTGACCCAGCGTAGATAGCAATGAGCAATTGATGGAATAAGTAGTCATGAGATACATCGCTCATGAAACGAACATCAAGTCAGTCAGTCGGTCGGTCGGTCACAATCAGTCCATGAATACAACATCACGCATGATCAAAATTTCAACAGCGTTCTTTGACGGATTTATGGGTGTTATTCCCCTTCAATTGTTTCCGTTATTTGGCATCAACTCCGTTCCGCAGGGTACAGTTCGCCAAGAACTAATACAAGAGCCCAATGTTCGTCCCATGTACATGCTTTTTTGGATGATCGACCAGCAGAAGCTCATGCTTAGATACTTAGAGCCATGATGGAATTGACAATATCGTTGTCGTTCTCCTTCAACGCCTTGACGGCCTTGTTGCGGCTGACGTTGGCCTGGGTCATGACAAGCTCAATATCCTTATCCTCGAGTCCGGAAGCGTCGACCTCCTCGTCGTCATCCTCCTCCTCCTCTTCATCCTCCTCCTTGTCCTTCTTCTCCTCAGCGGTCTCAGCAGCCTTGCTGGGCTCACCGTGGTTGTGGCCAGAGTGGTCCTCAGCGTTGGCGGAGGCGAGCTGAGCAGCAGCAGCTTGTTGAGCAGCGGCGTTCACATCCTCAATCTTGGCCTCACCGAAAACACTGGTTTGAGGTCAGAGGCAGATCTATCATTTCACAACAATACAACTTACATGTAGGTGTTGCTGTTGGGAGACTTGTAGACCTCGGGGTTGTTGATGACGAAGAGGATCTGTAGCCTTCGGTTAGCACCAACACTTCATTTTATCCCTCCAATCTCTTTAAAATAAAAACGCCAACACTCACGTTCTTAGGTCGTCGGAGAGTGACACGGGTGATGCCAGGGATGCGGGTGAGGTGCAGCTTCTCGAGGGCCTTGCGAGCCTTCTTCTCGTTGCGGTTGTGGATCACAGTAGAACCAGCGGGGAGCTGGCCCTCGCCGACCTCCTCGACCTCGGAGTCGTCGCTGGAGTCATCCTCGTGCTCCTGGACGGTGGTCTTCTTGGGCTCCTCGTCGGGAAGTTCTTCAACGCGGGGGTTCGACATTTTGGCGACTGAAGTGCGGGCACAGATGTTAGTAAATCTCAGGCAAACAATTTGTGGCAGCAAAATCTTCCCGGGACCGCAAAAAATCGATAGCAAAATAACACAATGAACATAACGACAGCTGCGCACTTACTTGTTTTGCTGATCCCAGTTACGTCTGTTTGCTGGCCTGATCTCTCACGTCGTCGTTTTGTGATGGGGTCCTCGCACAGCGATAATTCTACCTAGGGCTTGGTGGGAGGTGGGAACTAAGGTGCATTAGGTAATCAGAATCTGTGTCACTACGTCTCCCCCTCCAGAATCCGGATGTCTAAGAAAGTGACGACGGGTGGAGGGAAAATCCATGGAGCAATTTGGACAGTAATTAAGGTTGAATATGGGGATACAAAGTGGCTGAGTGTAAAGACATACATGCATACACAGGCGGCGGAGTTTTGGGGTATTCATTTCATTTTTATTTCGGCTACAGTTCACAATGAATCCATGTTCTTTTTTTGATGCTCCTTATGCTTTGAATTCAGTTGATCTCAGAATTTCCGTATTGACGCCGTTCATCGTGACGATGAAGTGTGAAATACAGCCTTCCAGAACGGAGCAAAAGTGAATCCAGCAGCCTCTATACCGCCGTGATGTGTTTCCTGCCCAGTTCCGTGCCACTTGATCTAAACCCGACTTTCAAGCACCTCCGTGACTCCAGCTTAATGACCCATTTATGCGGAGGCCTTGACCTTGGCCAGAGCCTTGCGCTCCTCGAATCGTCGCTGCTTCTTGAGTCGGAGAACCTGGAAGCGCTCGAAGTCGGTGAGACCCTTCCTCCGCTCCATCTGATCCCGCTTCTTAGCCCAGTTGGTCTGCTCCCACTTGGAGTCGATCTCGGACTTCTCCCAGAGCTTTCGGACGACACCAGTTCGGGAACCGCGGTTCAAGCCCTCGACGATAAGAGAGGAGAGGAGGACCTTGCTGAGGGGGACGGCTTGTCGGGGAACAGCGAGGCTAGCGTTGGCGGAAGGACCGTCGACGAGAATCTGTGACGGGGTCAATATCGCGTGTTTCGGCAGACAAGTCTGTTCTGAAGCAGGAGAAACCTACTCGCTTGTGGTCGATGATCTCGACGATCGTGGCCAGGCGGCCGGCGAAGGGGTGGTCGCCGTTGATAACAACGACACGGCCAACCTCAACGAGGCGCCAGTTCGAACCCTCAATGACTGCGTCGCCCATTGTGACGGTGATCTAATAACGGCCGATTAGTCGAATGTTTCAAGAGTCGCGCGCGCAGTGATTGATTGTTCGAATACAACTGCGATCGTAGGAGTCGAGGTTCATACCAGTTGTCGATTATGCTGTCCCGTTAGTTGGTTGTTTGCTGGAGCCGCGGACCTTGAAATCGCTAAGGACTTTTTGATCGTGGGCAGAAAAAGATCCTGTGCGTGCCTGCCCTAACTTTCGGTCTAACTTCCGGACTAACCTTTTGGCCGTCCGACAAAGCGAGCTCACCACCCGGCAACGGAGCACGGGCCAGCCGACGAGAACTTGAAAAGAAAATTTCTGGAAGACATCAAGTTTTGTACAGACCAACAAAACTCTTCCTCTTTATGGTCGGAGAGACACACCACATTTTTGAGTGCATCAAGGTAAGAATCCATCACGCTTCCCTTTTCCCCTTCTTCTCTCTCTCGCATAGGATGAGGTAATTTGCGATTGATTCTGCTTGATGGTCCTCTTTCGCCGGAGTGGCTAAATCGGGCGGATAGCTGATATTCAATTTCTTACATATTCTGAAAGCACATTCTGTCTTACATTCAGTCTCGCATGACCTGCCATTTTACAAAGACTAACTCAAGACTTTAGTGATACACTTCTCCCTCTTCTCTAGTGGCAAGCTTTAGTTAGCATACTGTGAGCCTTCCTAGCAGCGACAAGCAGACACATTCAATGTCCACAATTGCAATTAATAATAATTTTATAAACATTCACAAGCAATACCGCTCGTTTCGTTTTATTCATGTGAAATGCCGTACAATCCTTACTACCTCGATGTTTAATGATCTCATTGAAACGCATATACGGAGTATGCATATTATGACATCTAATGTGCCGGGGACGTTTGACGAGATATCGTTGGGACTGACTTATGCTTCAGTAAGACCACAAGGCCACCTCATATTCACGTATGCGATGTAGAGTCATGTTTCGGCTTTCAATTCAATCGTTAATTCATCCTTTCCGAGTCATTTGCCTGCAACGAATCGGCTGTATCTAAAGTACCTATTGTTACAATTAAGCCTTGCCCTTGCGCTTCAACTCCTCTTCCTCTTCAGCCTGGAGTTGAGCATCGACTTTTGCGCCCTTGGAAGGTTCGTTGCCGTGAGCGCGAGCCTTGTTGCTGTTAGTTTTTTGCTTTTCTTTTGGCGCCTAAGCCAGATCTCGATTGGACTTACGGGCAGAGTGGGATCCTTCTTTGATTGGGCGGTCTCGAGATCGTCGTCAGGCTCGGATCGTTGCTGTTTTGCATTAGTATATAGTGGATATCCAAGTGCGGCGGCTCAACTGACTTCCTCAGCAGCCAGGCGGTTGGCGATGGATCGCTCATCCTCTGCAATTTTGTTAGAATATTTTCTCATATTTAATCCACGGAATACGCACTGGAATCAAGGTTGTTGTGCGAGTTCTCCTTGCCCTCGTTGTAGGGGTTCTCAACGTTGCGCTCCGACTCAGGAGCGTTTCTCTGATCGCCAGCCTCGTAGACACCACGGTTACCAACGTTGGAGTAGCCAGACATGATGGATGTGTGAGAGTTGTGTGTTTAGTGATTGAAAAGGAGAATTATGTGAAGAGATGAGATGCTGTGTGAGAAAAAGTTTCAATTGATATCAAGACCCTTTTGTAGTTCCTCTTCGACGATGAATCAGTGCCATGGTCATACATCTTCTCCACAACCCTGACTTCATAGAATACGTCATGATAAAAGAAAGTCCTTGCTCACCACAACAAAACGCATCAGATCGCAACACATACGTCATAAGTAAAAAGAAAGAGATTTTGGCTCCTCCTTAGGGGTTCTGCAACATATGCTTTGCTACATACAGTCGATCTTTTAGCGTAAGCGGTTGATATCAGCTTGGCGAGGCGCCTGTCCATGATCCTTGACAGCAGGCCACGTGAGACACTAAACAACATCTCATGAATTCTTAATGAGAGAGCACGTCCATTTGCACATATAGAAACAATAAAGATCGAACATTCCAGCTATTCTTTCTCACGTCAAGGCTTGCTGCCGTGTGGTACCGTATGTAAGGTAAGTTTGAAACTGGGACAATCAAGATGTATTAGCCGAGCCTCATCCGATCGTGACATTTGATTTCTTAAAAACTTTACTCATTGGCAATCTGCTTGCAACATTTCGTGATTGCTGGGTTTTACAAAATACAAACCACGACTGGTAAATGAGGCATCTACCGAGATGAACCCTGACCTTAACACCCATAAGTAAAGTAAGTACTAAGCCAGGACATAGTGACTGGCTGGATTAATGTGTCTTTGACCCCTCAGACAATTAATTTTTTATTTTTTTGTAAAGTTAAAACCTATCGCCAAAAGGTTTATTTTTATACCCACTTTGAGCCTTCTTCTCTTAAATAATGTATTTCATACTTGAAACACGAATGTCCCGAGGACATTGGCTCTCTCTTATATATCTCTGGTCATCCATGAGGAGGCGGAAGATAGCGGGTGCCGTAGTGGGGGTCTATGCACGGGCCCTGCAGCTTCGGCGTGACGAGCTTCATGGAGCTATACCGAATCGGAGCTCCGACATCAACCTCCATGAACCATCGTGATCTTTCTATAATTGTTTTCTAAACATAAACTTTTGAAAAAGAACCAGCTAAAATGTTTCGCTTTGTAAGTTACGAGGTCAATATCAGATATGCGTAACTACTAACAAGCATATAGCATAAGACACTCGATATTGTGACAGTCTTCCACAAGGCCAGCTCTCCGGCATCCGTCAGAGTCGCCAACCTTTTGAAGCAGGTCTCTGCCAATGCCACTTCTGGTGCCACTCTTGACCAAGCGAGCGACCACTCCGCCCAGACGGCACCTATTCGAGACCAGTTTGAGCTCAACATCACCGAGGATCCTCCTACAGACGACCAGGTGAAGACAATTCTGGAATATGTTGGAAGCAACAGTATCCCCAAGGTTATCAAGGGTGCAAACAACGAGAAGGAGGCTCTCAGGAAGTTCAAAGAGAGCAAAGAGAGCTTCATTCGACCAGTGGTATGTTGCCTCTGGAATGTCACGATGGAAACCTACTGACTAATATACGTATAGGTTGTGGATTGGAATAATGGCAAGGCCATTGCTGGCGACAACGAGTCTGAGATCCTCAAGCTTCTGAAAACACAGAAGTAACGTCTCTAAACTGTCAATGAACTATCGCACAACCCCTCTCTGTATATACTATGTCAATGATTGATACCGTCTGACGATCAGCCATATTAGCATGCTTGTATTAGTGACCCATCATGAGCCGACGATAGTAGGTTGACAAACGCCCGATTTTCTTTTCGAGATGCCACAAGGCATTCCCCTCGGTACGATTGCCAGTCTTTCCACGAGAAGACCCTTTATGAACAATATCAAAGTTTGGCATCCAAATTTACCAGACGTGAACCGTATGCCACCAAAGGGCACAGGCATCAACCTCGTCTAATCAAATGGAATTGTTCCTAGTCCAAGCAAGAAACGAGTTCTCCAACAGATATTTCACAATCTACATATAACAGAGTAGCCGTTTGTGTGGAGCGAGAATCAGCAAGCACCCGCGTTGAGCTGCAAGATGCCTAGGCGACTGTATCGTTGACGCGTTGAGTACCTCGAGCAAAACTAATCTTACTATTGTCTAGTATATAAATACCGGCAAACCCAAGGTTAGTCTAGTTGTAACCAAAGTCTGTTACGCTCTATTATAGGCGAGCTAGCTAGCAAGCAGGCTGCGAGCCGTTCAGGAAGGTTTCCTTGCCTTTGTTTGACTTTGACAGTTTGCACTCCTCGAGTCACAAGCAAGCACTGCAAAGACACAACTGTTGGTGAATGGATACTTGCAAGCGAGAGACTTTGGCCATCAGTTCAGGTCTGCGCCAGCTGTGCCAGTGCGTGCCAGTTACTAACATTGCCAGTGTCAGTCACTTAATGTTTATTCGGTGACAATCATTGCCCGGTCTTCGATTTTACTTTTTGTTTTCCTTTTCTCTCTTGATCCTTTCCTTCCCTCTAACTCTCTTTTCTTTCTCCTCAAACATCACTCCCGCACATCTCGAAAACACCGACAAATCTCCCCTCCTCCTTCTTTCCTTACGGCGCATCATCGCGCGTTGGGCATCGACTTCAGGAAAGAACTACCTTCTTTCTGAAATTAATCTCCTCCATCTTATACCTGAATCTGAACCATAACTTGCACTTGCTTTGCGCTCGGGCGCTTCACTTCTCAAGGTAAGCCTCGAACACCTCTATTTATGCAAACTGTGATTTATCAAGACGAGGTGAATGCTTTCATCTCATGACCCCTAAGGATCTTCTAAGCCGGGATGAAAGTGTTCACCTTGTTTCCAAGATCAAGCGCACCTTGTCTCATCATGTGCTAACTGACCGTTACACAGAGCATCATGGCTCAACCTCAACCCGCTTCGGCGGGTGACTCCTCCATGTCCAATGGGCCATCCCCGCCGCCTCAACCAAATTTGGAACCAGACCGGACTTATGCCAGAGACCAGCCACCTAACTTGCGCGAAGCCTTCACCAGCTTCTACCCCAATGGCCTACCCAACTTCTACAAAATGCTGCAGACACCTGGTCCTGAGGGCGTCGTTCAAACGTACGTCGAAGACTACCTCCCTGTGGGATTCTACAGCAGCCCTCCAGTCGGGGCCAAAGCCATCTTCTCTACCTGTAATAGATCGAACCCCTTTCGTCGCATGGAGCATTTACTGCCTCAGCGCCGCGTTCACCTTTGGTCCGGAGACGAAGTTCAATCTGCTTGCAACTCACTCCGCAAGCTCTACTGGGAGGTCATAAAAGACATGCCGTATCCAGACTGCTGGGATAGCTTGTGGGACTATTTTGATGCCCAGGACATTTACAATTACGGAGCTTTGAACCTCTGGAATGTGGTTAGTCAACTGTTTGTCGAGAACCAGTCCATCGCCCTCGACGTCCAT